CGTGCAATGTGTTGAGAAATAACCCTCTTTAAAAGAGTTTTATTGCTCGACTTACAAGTAAGCAATGTATGATATTAGTGTTTGCGTGAAAAATGATTATATTAAATATAATTTTTTTGAAAAATGTATGGCTTAAAAGTAGAAATTAATTATGGAAAAACGTAGAAGAATAATTATTTTTTAAAAATATGTAAGTATAAAATAATTACTTTGAAACAAGATCTTAGATGACATAGAGTTACGATGGCAAAAGAAAAGTAAAACGCAACATGTGACCCTTGAACCGCATGTCCATTTTTTAGTGCAGTAGTACCATAAACATCAAATCAACAGGGACAAATTTAAGTGCTTAGATCCAAGTGTTACCCACTGCTAATAATAAATATCCAAAACTTTTCAAGTGTGGAATTATTTTTGAAAATGAAATTTACGTGACAGTTTTTAAAAGTTAGGTAAAGGGCGTGTATATTTCATACAAAGAAACAAATTAAACAGAAATTTGTCTGGTAAAATACATAATAAAATAAGAAGGGTAAAGAGCTGTCAGCAATAGTTTGCTGCACGTGAACGTGACAAACGGAAGAAGACATTGACAGTACACACCATTTTTTCCCTCTTGTGTGTTTCTTTCATTGTCAAAAAAACCTCTGTTCTGAGGAACGAAGAAGGGGAGGAAGAAAAAGGAGGGTTTTTTTCAAGAAGAAGAGAATGAGAGAGTACACCTCTGTCATCAAGGTTGTTATACTGCTAGTTCTTTTATTACAAAATGTAAATGGTGAAGACCCTTATAGATTTTACACTTGGAAAATCACTTATGGTGACATTTATCCTCTGGGTGTCAAACAAAAGGTAGGTACTACTAATAATTTTCTTCTTCTAATGCCCTTCACTATGTGCTTTTAGTTTTGTTGCTGAAGATGAGAAATGGTGGTGCTGTTGCAGGGAATTTTGATAAATGGGCAGTTTCCGGGGCCACAGATTGACTGTGTCACCAATGATAACCTGATTATCAGTGTTTACAACTACTTGAATGAACCCTTTCTCCTTTCTTGGTAACCCATTTTCACTTGCTTTCTTTCCATTTGCATTCTTATCTAGTTAAACAACCCTTTTTGCCGTATTAACTGTAGAATGCTGCACATCTATTTGAGTTCCTTAATGTTTTTGTAAGCATGTAGATTTTGAGATTTAACCCAGCTTTCAGATTATCAATGTCATGTGACAGATTAAAAAGGTTCTTCTTGGCATGAATTTTTTCTCAAGGATATCACCAAGAAGATTAGAAAGAGTATTAACTTTTTGCCATTTTGAGCCTCAAGGCAAGGGATTTCTTCTAAAGAGCATGTTTGGCCAAGCATAAAGAAAGTAAATTACTTTTTCATTAATACTTTTGAAGAAGTTACTTTTGTCGTTAAAACTACATTTTTACTTATTCAAAAAAAAAGAAAAAGAAAAAAAACGAAGAGGTTTACTCTTTTTAGTCTTCACCGAACATGCTTTATGTGGTCTCTAATGTTAAGGCACAAATCTGTGTATACAGACTTATTCAATGCCCAAACATTAGGTGTTAGGAATTTCACTATGCAGTATTCACATGCTAGATCTCTGACATCCACCACATATTGGGTTTTTATATTTGTCATTAATCTTATAGTTAAGTTAATACATGTGAGACAAATGAAGTGGCAAGCTTATTTAGGGCCATATATAATCCTCTTTGACAGCCATTATTTAGGAAAAATAATGTTTTGACAGTAATATTTAGAATAATGTGTGTTAAAAAAAAAGGAAAAGTTTTGAGTTTATGTGTAGAATATTTTATTATGAATGTGGTTGAAAATGAGTATGTAGAAAAATGAATTTTCAAATAACGATTATCAAAATCAAACTGGGCATAGTTAATGTATCATTTATTAGTTCTTTTATTATTTAGGAAATAAATAAATGATTTTTTTTCTTTTAAATTGGTGAAATTCATAATCATAGCCATTGAGTTCAATGTGCAAGACATCAATGGCTGTCCAGTATTTATGATGCCATGGCACTTAAAAATTCATAGTTCTCTCTGCTTTGGAAGACAGCACAGTTGAATCTTTCTGGAAACAATCATCTAATTTGTCATCCATAAAATACATTTTTAACTTGTTATCTCCAGTCAAAAGTGCCTGAAATAGTTGTGCTCGTACACCATGACTTATTACTCGATTCTTATTGTGTTGCACAACAATGACAAATCTATGAATTGTTTGAGGATGCGATTATGAAATGTAGTACCTTGTTGGTTTACAAATCTTGGACTACATTATAGAAAGTAGTTATTGTGATTTGAGCAACAATAATAATGATGAAGAATATAAAATCGACAAAGAAATAAGAACACAGATTTAAGTGGTTTGGTGATGTGCTTGTGTTGACGGGAGTTAAGTAGCTATGATCTTTATTCCGCTCCGACATCAGCCTATTTATTCCAGTAAATACGTGTTTCACTCTTGTTGATTTTGGAATAATAACTTATTCCATATCTTAATTCATAAACGGGTGTTACATATATATACATAGAGACGATGTTTCTCATAAGGAAACAATCATATCAAAATAAGAAATAATTCTAAACTTATGCACCTACCATATATACATGTGTTGTTTATGTAAAGAATAAATATAAACCTAAATTGATGCATAATTCCATAATACTGCCCCTTAAGTTGGAGTATAAATATCAATCATGCCCAACTTATTACAAATATAGTTTACTCGACTTTTGGCTAAGGCCTTAGTGAACATATCAGCTAATGATCTTTTGTCTTGACCTGCTTAGTGAAAATCAATCCTTGTTGTAGCTTTTCACGAACAAAATGACAGTCTGCCTCTATATGCTTTGTTCTCTCATGAAATACTGGATTAATGACAATGTGAATAGCTGCTTGATTATCACACCATAAGTTCATAAAGTGAGACGTATCAATGCCAATTTGTCCAAGTAAGTGATGTAGCCACATAAGTTCACAAGTCATCTGTGCCATAGCCCGATATTCAGATTCTGCACTTGATGGAGCTACAACACTCTGTTTCTTACTTTTCCAAGAGATTAGATTACCTCCATCGAAAACACAATACCCTGTAGTAGAGCACCTATCCACGAGAGAACCTACCTAGTTAGCATTCGAGAAACCCTCAACCCTACAATGACCACGTTCTCTATAAAGAATTCCACATCCTGGAGCTCCTTTAAGATACCTTAATATATGAGTTACAGCATCCCAATGTGAAGTTCTAGGAGATGACATAAACTGATTAACAACACTTATGGGAAATGCAATAGCTGGTCGAGTAGTTGTAAGATAATTCAACTTTCCCACTACCCTCCTGTACTTGTGATGCTGACATCCATTTACTATTTATTTTCTTCCATTTACTATTTATTTTCTTTTTGGACTATTAGTTATATTCTAGTTGGATTATTATTTATATTTCTGTTATTGGGCTTGTTTAGTGGGTTTGGCCCAAGCCCTTCTCTTTAGGGTTTGTGTTTTGCTATTTATTTCTGTTTTGTTTCTCATTTGAGACAGTTGATGATGAATTAGAATTGAAATATTTTTGGTGGCTTGCAGCCGTTTTCTCCCTCCCCTCTCTTCCCCTGGTTTTTTTCTCCTCTTCTCCCTTCTCTCTGTTTCTCCTACCCGTTCCTTCTTCTTTTTTTCTCATTCATCCTACATCAAATTTGGTATCAGAGCCGAACCATGGGTAATTTCTTTTCTTTAATCCAAAATTTATTCATATTTCTTTCCCGAAATCTGTTGGAACAGCACGAACTAAAAGAATATTTGGTACAGGCAG